TCGTGGTGAATCCCTGTGAAGGTTCCACATCTTTCTTGAAAAGTCAAAATTTAACTTTTTAATACTTATTTCTGTAAATGTTCGAAATACGCGCATGTCGTGCTGTACAGTACCGACAAAGTTATTAGACGGAAAATTTCAGTAGCGTCGCTAACCTACATATGCCTATTCACGTTTTTCAAAAATCATTTCTCCACAGCCAGAAGAGTTGCTCAACCAGAGGTAGATCTTGAGGACGAAAACCTTTCCTGGCTTGTTTCCGAGCTTTCTGTTTCTATTGCTCTTTGTTCTTTCTTTCCCATAAATAAAAAATTAAAGTCTCCATTTTCTTATGAATAAATGTAAATTTATCCGTTGTCTTACTCCTAAAGACTCGCGCAGAATGTGAAAATGCCCCTCTGTATTTGCTGAGTATTAAGACTTCATCTTTGTTTATTCATTTACATCCTTGATATCATTCGTTCCGATCACTTGTTGACTGCCATCTTTCAGAGCTGTTCCTCCTAACATCATATTCATGTTCAATCAACTATGGATCTCGAAAGCCTGACAAAGGAACTGACTGGACTGCTCGTTGCCGGGTAAGTCAAATATCTTCTTCACTACCGGCTGAGATTATTCTCAATCCAATAGTGGGAAGTGAGGGCGGGGGAATCTGGAGCCCGTGTTGTCCGTATGGTTCAACGATCAAAAATCGAATTACGGAATGCGAGTTTCGTCCCATTAGAGGTCCCATTAGAAGTCGAATTTATGCCTTAGAACTCAGCTACTCTGTGATGGCTATCAACCATTCTAGGATTCAACTCAGCTGCGGTGACTCCACCAACAGAATGGGAGCAGTTGGGGGCCCTCAGTTCGATGGTCCCGGTTACTCTCCCTCTTTTGGCCTACTGTAGCACGTACGACGATTGTCTCTGCTCCGGTAAAGGTCAAGCATAGCATTTGGACGTCGAACTTGGTTACGGTAGCTTCGTAAGATGATTTTCGTCAAGTTAGCGCGACTCTTTTCATGAATCACTGCCGCCGCTGACTAACTGGGCATCGTTTTCAGCGCATTAATGAATTCAACTATCTGATGTGTTCGATCACGAACTCCTCACAGTGATTCGAATAGCGAAACAACTAGTGAAACCTCCCAAATGTGGTTTCGTGGAACTTTTCCATCATTGACGATTACGCCATGCTATGAGCTTCTCGCCTAGTCGTAGAGGCGATTCACTTCTACCATGAGAAAAGAGATCTTTTTTTAAGGTTATCCAGAGTCGCTATTACATTAATGAAAGCGTTCCAGTAAGAGCAACTCATTTACGCCCATTTGCATCTGCAAGAAGGAAGGTAGGTGGGGACAGGAATCGACTGAACTGTTAAAAGTCAAAAGACTAATTGTAAGGGCTTTTGCCCATGCTTAGTGAGGAGAAGGAAAAGAGGGGAAAGGAAGTCGATTAGATGGAGCTCCAAAGTAGGGGTGATCCATATTGAACAGACAAAATCCGAGTTGCCGTTGTCTGCAAAAGTACCAAAATGCTGGAGTTTGATCCTATTAGGACGTCGCCATTCCTGGTGAGTAGATTATCCCATAAAGATGATCATTAATGATTACTGCTGAGCTTCCATGCTATCTCGTCTTCCATGTTTACTCATTGGAAATGTGAAATTTCAATACCACGGAGAAAATGTTATATACTGTAATATCTACCGGTTCTGACCAAATTTTATTCTAAAATATCCTCTCGAGTAACCATTGAGAGATACTGGTAGCGTTTGGAAGCAAGAGAGATTTCTTAAAACGTCCATCTTGCAGTGATCGGATACGGAGCCTGCAAGCATGCTATAGCGATGTTTGTGCTGAAGAATGTTTACTGAGTGAAGTTAAAAACCATTTGGCAAATTGCCAGAAAACTGAAGAGGATCTCGAAAATGAACGGAAATCTCATGCAGAGGAGCTCAGACAGATAAATCAGGTACGTACATTACTTGAATACGTCTTTTAAACTGGTTTTAATCGGACTGCAAGTAAAGGACGATTGGAACATTTTTATATCGGAGAGATCACCTATTGTAGCCACTCAATAGTAAATTTTCTAGTTAACAAAATATTATACTTATTGAAATTTATTCCTTCCCAGTAGAAACCGATCTGTTCTCAGGACATTAATCAGTTGGAGGATATTTTGAAGACGTTACGGTCGGAACGCGAAACAAAACGAGCCAGACTAACGCGACGTATGGACGAGTTACGGGTAGCAATGAATCGGGCCAACGAAAGTATACGGGTCAGTTGCGCAGCCAAATTCAGGAATTAGTAGATCCTTAAGGTTCCTACTTTTTCTTGAGGCAGTAGCTTATGGTTCGTGTTCAAAGGGTACAGATCCTTGCCCAAAGGTGTGAACTGAACGCACATCTACAGCCAGTAAGGAACGGAACATCCATCTCTTTCTGTATTTCTAAGCCATTCAGCGCATCGTGCAGAACCTACTTCTGCACTAGGAATCGGAATTCAAGGAAATAGAAGAACTCATGGGAAAATTAATATGCGTGTTGATCAGGAGAATCGAAGCTGCAAGAAGGGAAAGTCATCAGGAAGAACAGCAAGAGGGCGGTTTAGAAATGCTAGGAATTGCTGATAGTATTGAAAACCAATAAAGGCGAAATTACCCGAGGCATCCAGTAGGTTCAGCAGATTCTGCTATTCCCCGGTTCTAATTCTGCGTTTCTTCCACTAGGAACTCAGCAGGACCATGTCTGCTAATCGCCCAAATCGTGATCGGGCGCACTCGCCCAAATGTTTCTGAACACTTGCCAAAATTGTTCCCTTCATAACAGGGTAAAACTAAAGAGGATCTTTTAGAGAAGTCATTTTCAGGTATGATAGGGATAAGTTTTAATTTTTTAAAAATTAAAAAACTGACTTTCCAGGCTGCCGATATAATCAGTATTTCGTTTGAAGAAACCGATGGTATACCTAAAGAGCTATTGGAAAGGTTAGTTCCAATAGGAAAGTCGAGTTTTTGTGTAAAGAAATTTAGAATTTTTTAGTTTATTTGCTCAAAATCCTGCCAAACATTCGATCGCATCGTTGTCACTTCTTGGATCTCAATTTCCTTGGACATCAGCGCTGTCGATGATATCAAAAGCACCAGCTCCTGAAGCCAATAAAATGAAGGTCGGTTTGCATTGAACTGAAACGGTCACAAGTCTATTTTTGTATTTTTTACTAGCTAAGTCTCAAAAATGTAATTTTAGACGTGTGAGAGCTGTGGTGCACAGATTCATCGAAATGCTCCCACATGTCCTATGTGTAAGACCAGAAGTCGGAGTAAAAATCCTAAACGATCGAAAAAGAAGGACGGTTGACTGATATCATGTAGACATTACGAGTAAGATAATAATAATTCTTAATAATCCAATAAGTTTTGTAATAAATCCTTCACATATTACACACCGGCTTTCTGGAAATCAGATTGAGAGGATATGGTATCCACAAGTTTACTCTATGATAGTAGTTGGAGCATAACAAAGCCTCCAACAGAAAAAAATGGTGTTTTTAGATTTCAGTGGGAGAAATTCTATCAAAAATGAAAGGTCAACACAAAAATAAAGTAAAAATAAGGAATTATAAGACGCTTTTTTCCAATTCAATTAAATTTCAAAGTCTATGGTGTGTCTATGGTGTGTACATGCTGAGTTCCTACCAAAAGTCCCCTTCCGCCCCCCCCCACCTTAGATTTAATGAAAGGCTAAGAGGACATAAGCCTGTGGATGGGTACGTTTATTATGCACAACTGATATATGAACGATTTGTGCTAACCAGTCATTTCCCAGATCACTTACAAGACTTGAGCTTTGTGGCCCTTTTTACCCAGAAATAGTTACAGGGCTAAAAGAACATGCAGCTACGGACTGGTCCATGGCCGTGCGATTGCTCTTTTTGTAGAATCAAGAAACAGGATCATCAAAAGGTTTCTACCCGAAAAGGAAAGTCTTTAGTTCCGCTGCTCTCCGATTGCTGATTGCTGACAAACCCTCTACGGTCGATCGTATTTGGGAGATTCGTCCCAAACGATCAACTTTTGCAATGTACTTGGAAGGAAACTTTATTCTCGAGGAGTCGGTGTGAGGTAATGTCACGGAAGTTTCGGTTTAGAAATGGCGCAACAAGAGCTCGAAGTCTGCTAACCCCGCCCAAAATAGGAAGGAGGGTTGAAGTGACCGCACTTTCTGTACCCCTTCACCATTTCTACACCGTATTCTGGTATGGAAATGCTATTTATCTACACTATAAGGATCAAAGTTCCTCCCTGATAACATCAACTGCATAACCTCAACACCAGCACAACCTATCAAATTGTACATTGAAACTTCTAGACGAACGTGAGAGGAAGGCTCTGCAGACACCTGCCCGTATTCACAGGGCTACTTCTTGTATCGAATTTTACCCGATTTCACGAGTCTTGGGAATAGGTTTAGAAGATCTTTCTGATTCAACTCTATTGGGAGCATGATAACGATGTAGCAATATGGTTTCACTGTTTGGAGTCCACAAGCGCGGAGCTGTACTGGAAATAGCCCAGCTCATCGCCACAAAGTAAACCTGTTCCTTTCTTAATTAGCCAGTTTTGAAATTTGCGGGATTATCGCATGTACGGCGCAATCCGATCGATTGACTCAGTTTTGCTCACTGAATCTGCTGTGTATTTTTGCTATTACTATTACTTTTGTATTGCCAACAAATAAAAAACTAGGACGAAGCTTTTATTCAATCAAAACTGAGCAGATTTAGGCCTTCTTAACCTTCTTGACCTTTCGAATGACATGTGTACGTGCACGGCCTCGTGCATGGGTACCGGCCATGGTACCCACAACAGTAGAACGATGTGGACAAGGACAGTAATGGGCATCCTTTCCAGGACCACCATGCTGCCCTGGTTGTCCCGGCATTCCAGGCATTCCAGTATCACCTGCCGCCCCTTGAGGGCCAGCTGGACCCGGTCCTCCCATCATCGAATCCCTGCCTGGTGGACCATTCTCACCGGGTGGACCAGGTACTCCAGGAGATCCAGGTTGTCCAGCAGGACCAGTCGGTCCCTTTCCTCCAAGTGTTCCATCTGCTCCACGATCACCTGGTGGTCCATGTTTGCCCGGAGTGCCTGGAGTTCCAGCTTCTCCGGGTAGTCCTGAGAATGTTCTGTTTTTATGTATTCCTTCGACATCACTTTGCTTGTGCACTTACCTGGTCGTCCTGGTTGGCCTGGCGCCGACGAATCGTATCCAGCTCCATTTGGTCCATCCATACCAGGTCGACCTTGTAGACCTGGTGGACCTGGTGGGCCAGGAGGACCATTAGGGCAGATTCTGTAATCCATCACGTACTACCTACCTGAACCTACCGTATATCTTGCAAAATTGTAGTCAGACGTTACCTGCACTTTCTAATCCAATCCACAGCGACAGGGGGAGCATTACCAGCCACACCTGGAGCTCCACGTGGACCTGGCAAACCGGGCGTTCCGTCCTCTCCTGCCTGTCCTGGAAGACCAGCCGGTCCAGGTGGGCAGGCGTTGTCACCGTTGCATTGGCACTGTCCTGATGCTTGTCTATTACGTCGAGGTTGTGTTTTGCCATGAGGATGGGCAATGTGTTTTCGTGCAGAACGGGCCACACGTACGTGGACTCTGAAATAGCGCTTTTCAGAGTGTTTCATTCACAGCAACTCAGCCGAGCCTGATAAAAAACCAGTTTCGACGCTCAGGAAGAATACATATTTTGTCCCAGACTCACGAGGCTTGCTTTTCCAACTCCTTGAAGTCCCGCATGTCACGTTCGAGTTCTTCAGATATCTCTCCGATCTTTGAGGAGAGACGGGTGGCCAGAAGGACTATCATCACCGTGGCACCGACGGAAAGCGCTATGGACGCATAGGCGGCGCCCTTACCGTTCATAGTTCTTTCCTGAATATGGTAATTATCAAAGGATGCCTCTATTTCTTCGGGTACTGTAGGTTATTTATTTTATAGCTACTGCAGTTTTAGTGTAATTTAAAGGATCAATGAAGCTTGTATATTTTTGAGTCTAAAAACGCTCATCCAACCCAATAGTGGGCACTTTTGAATTTATCTCAGGAGTAACACCAAATAAAACCTAATTAGTTCATTCATCAAAATTAAAATTTGAATTTTTCGCGTAAGGGGCGACTTTCCTAGCTTAAAAGCAAAGTATCCGACCAAAATATTCTGAAATTAAGAAAGTAATAAAAATTTTTACACCAAAGAAGTAAAGTAAAGGAGTAGAAGTAGGAAGTAAAGTTACTCTTACCTTCTTGGGAGGTGCCGAACTGATAGTAAACAGATTATTGGGAGATTTTATACCCTGAGCAAAAATGCGCAAAGTAGTGGAACAAATAAAATGAAGTCAAAGGGGAAGGAGAGTTTATGGAGTTGTAAGTAAGCGATAAACATTTTAATGACCTTCGCGCTTTGCATTTAGCATTCCGCGGCGACTGCCAACTCACACCTGGGGACACAATTGAACAACAATGGGAACTGGATTACTGCCAACAAAACGACTAAATCATCAAGTATAACTTAATAATAAAGCACATTTCAAGCAGAAAACAGTAAAACTGTTGGTGGAAAGAAAGCAAGAGAAGTTTTGTGAAAGCAGGAATTCTCTAGACAACGATGATCACTACTTTCACCCGAACGTCAACACCTCAACTAATTTCTTGGCGTATTTATTGGAATTATTATTTATTATTCCTCTGTTTATTCGATAATTTACTACTTTCATAGGTAATAAAAACTAATCTATGATTTTTTCTCGAGAACACAAAGATTCCGTCTAGAAAATGGGAGAGTGAGAGACACTATCACACACGCATAGTCACGGGTTCGAATCCCGGATCGATGTCTGCCTAGACCCCTAGCGTTTGCAAAGGGATATTTCGATGTATCTATCGATTTCGAAGTCTAGGTAAAAAGAAATCCAGAGGTTGCCGATGTGAGTAATATTACAAGTTATGGAAGTTATTTGGGCGGAGGTGGTATAGTGGCAAGTGGCGCACTATCACACAAGCATGGTCGCGGGTTCGAATCCCGGATCGATATCCGCCTCGACAAACCAAGCCTTTCATCGCTATGGGGTCGGTTAATTGGTAGCAGACTCGTCTGGGAGGATAAAAGCACTGACTTGTACATCTGCTGGCTACCGCGATTCATTTTATAGGCCAAATACTCATTTAAATTCTCCTACGATTTTGAATGGAAGTCGATTGTGGGGGTGCATCCTGAAGAAGGGAACAGTGGCTTTATCCTTTATCATTCATCTGCCAAATTTCAGACGGCTATGTAGGTTTTTGAAGGATTTTGAGCTGCCCCGTACAAAGGCTATATTTCATGATCAAAAAAGATACGTATGCTACTTAAAGGCTGCTATCCCGTTCCAGACTGGGATAACCCCATTTCCTTTTTGCGACGGCCACAGAAAATAAATCGCCATGGGGGTAGTCGATGTTGTCGTCGTCGCTGTTTTTCAAGGCTCATCCTTTCAAAGAAGAACCGATAGCAAATTCGTAAGCTGTCCCGTTTTTGTCATCGAGTCAGCCGTCTTCCGATTGTTATTACACGATTTTCGCCTTCAACAACTAGCAAAAGCTTTAGGTTCAGTATCGTTTTTCAAGTATGTTGATCAATTATTATATCCATTTCGTGTTTCTGATTTTTAGTTTGTAAATATTTTGTTTATCAAACTATTCGATATTTCACAAATATGTTTCCAATGAAGAAACACCTCTGTTTTGCTATTTCTTGAAAAGGATCAGTCAGAAAAGAAGCCTTCTTAGTTTCTTATCTAACACTCGATATTTATTGAATAAAGGGACCTGCTTACCTGTTTTTGCATTATACATTGAAAGGCTATACGTTTTATGAATCAGCTTCTTTTCGCCCAGGGACTATTACAGCCGAAGTTGGCATTAGAGCTGTGTAATATTCATGTTGTTTTATTTATATTTGTTGCTATACGGTTGACGACTAGTCAGTACTCAAGGGAAAGAGCTATTTCTCATGAAGAGTTCATCTAGGCATCCGTAAAAAAAGCTCTTTGCTATGTTTAGTAGGAGCCATGGATTAGATTCCGATTAAGATTTGATTACTAGACACTGGTAAACAATTACATGCCCATTATGTCAGTAAAACGCCTCACCCCGAAGTGGCTGTTTATCACGTTACAGTTTTTTCTAGACCTAAGCAAACTCGTTGTCATTTTATGGACTTCGTGGAAAACAAGGACCGGTCCAACCTTGGTGGGATGGGATGTAGATGGCTGGTGTGTTTTGCAAGTCAGCTGGCGTATCTGCCGTGCAACTCATGGCTACGTCATCTCTTTTTTCGACTTTCAGATTTACGGTTTTATTAATAAATCTTGATTAATTGTAAACTCCCATACATTTTCTATGTCCAACTTCCTCGGAAATGTTGTTTACATCAGGATCTTCAGAGCAAGGCTTCTTAGGACAAAAATTTCCTTACTGGTCCACTTTGACGCTTACCTGTGACAAATATCCTCAGTGGTTTTTGTTTTTCTTTTCGAAAACCTTACAGTATACGCCTGAAAGAATAAAAGTATAAGGACAATGGGCGTTAGTCAATCGACGCCGACCCTTTTGAGGGATGCGCCCTGCATTCGAGTCCCATTCAGATTCGTTGTGTTTGTAGAATGTGTATATGATCTTTACAATGATCTGTAGTGGCCAGCCAATGAACAAGTCAGTGTTTTTACCTTCCCCGACAAGTCTGTTAACAATTAGATGAACTTGGAGGAATGGAGGATAAAAGGCCCTTTCAACCGAGGCGGATACGATCAGGATTCGAAACCGTGACCATACGCGAGTGATGGCGATCCACTTCGCATTGCGCCACCTCCGCTCAAGTGATCTCCATAATTTGTAATACTACTCATATCAGCAATCTCTGAATATCTTTCTATTCAATGAATGCATTGAAACTTCCCCTGACTTTTGCCTTCAGAGGGTAGGGGGGGACATCCCTGGAGGATTCGAACCTGCATGTTTTTTCTGTAGACAAATTATTAATCGGTTGTGCAACCGATCTCATAGATACCTATCTTTTTGTCGATTGTTGTATACACGAAGTCATTGAATAAACGTGTTTATGATTAAAAGATTTGTTTACTGTTGTTTACGAGAAATTCTCTGCCTCTACAATCTTCCGATCTTTGATCTCATCAAAATCCAAGTATACTGGTCGCCAAAGTGGGAACTCCTCTGTCATAGCGGCTTTCCGATCCCGTTGGACCCTTCCAACTCTTCTGAATATGCCTATGTTTCTTTACTAGTATTTTCTGTTCGCTCTTCTCAGGAACCCTCAATATATTCAAGACTCACGATTCTATTTTTATCTGTTTATATCAACTTGTACATGTTTATTTACGATGTAATTATTTACTTGACTTCAGCAATTTTGTCTTATTGATAGAAGTTTTCGAAATTTCACCCTGCTATTGGCAAACCCATAATTTTCTATATATATTGCAGCTTTGAATGTCAGTTTTTTGGGCAAACCCTTTGTGTACATAAAATTGACGAGGAATAGTGTATAACTAGTCTGTAACAATAAATATCAGCGTTGCTTTTCAATCGACACAGTAAAGGAAGGAGCCCCCTTCAGGTAGATTATAAATAGATTTTCCTAAGCCTGGACGATTTTCTCAAATTTTCATTACTTCTGTTCTGGAAGTTGGAGTGGCCGCCTACGTTTTTGTCGCATCCATCGCCATGATCCATAGTCATCATCATCACAGCCCGGCCAATATTTGTACAGTCGAGTAGTCGGTAGAGATTGTCTCGGAACGGCGTTTACGCCTCATCGATCGTTTCAATCGTTCATTTCATCTTCGGACAGCTGGGACACAATTTTCAGCTATTTTACTTTGATATGCTCCTGTCCAATCTTTGGTAAATCTGGTCACTGTGAATCTGAGTAAGAAATGTCCCTTTTGGACGGCTAGACTCGTTTCTGTTGCGGTGACTTAGTTGACCGAGCCACTAGCCACAGTGTCAAGGTTGGCTAAAAATCCCTTTTCAGGAGACTTAGGGAAAGGAGGTAGAGCAGAAAAAGGGAGGATTCGCTAACTTTCCTTCTTTCCCTTCCAAAAAATCCGTACAAAAAGCAGAGGGCTTGTAAATTTCTGTATAAATCCAAGTTACTAAAACTC